GTTTATATAACAACTAGGGTAAATTAACTTCCCATGCTTTCAGGAACAAAGAGACCAGGGTTCCTCAAAGCTCAAACCAGGGGAGTAGCCATGAACTTTTGGTTGCACTATATTTTAAGGTGACATAATTACTGAGTGCGGAGTAATATTAATTAATTACATTTACTACAGAGTACTATAAAGTTACGGTTGGGGTTTGGTTTAGGGTTACTTACTATAGTAATAACAGTAAATTATGCATAATTACAAGTACCTACTTACATGTAGTAACATGTAACTGTCACCTTAAAATAAATGGTTACTTATCTTTTTTTCAGGGGTGAGACTCATGATTTTATTGGCGTGGCAAAAATAGTAAATAATAATAATAAAATCCTGCTTTAAATCTAAAAGTTTTCGTGATTTTATTAAACAGTACAAACCGTTGCGCTCGTTTCTCGCTCTGCTGTGTTTTAAACGCTTGTAGCTGCTTCATCTTGCTATGGCAAACCGTTTTGACTTTTAATCATTCGCGGGATATGAATTCTTGATATCAATAATTAAATTATCACTAGTAAAAATGCTAATTATTGATATCAGGAATTAGGATTTCTACTAGTGACAATGGCAATTTTTGATATTACATTTCCACTAGGAAAATGTTTCATTCTTGATATCTGTAATTGTATTTTCATTAGTTAAATGCCATCATAGGCTACCATTCAAATTCACTTGTTGATATCAAGAAATTATTTCTTAGTAGTTGAAATTCCAATTTCACATATTAGAAATACAATCCTTACTTGTAAAACTCATAATTTTTTTTATATCAATAATTACATGGTTACTAGGAAAAATCTAATTCCTGATATCAAAAACTCAATTTTCACTATAGTTGAAATGTTACTTCTGGATATCTGTAAATGTATTTCAACATGTTACATTTATTTATTATATCTGAAAATGTATTTTTTTAATATCGACCATAAGGAGGAGAGTAATTTCAGAAATCTAAAATGGATCTCTTACTAGTAAAATCACATTCATGATATCAGTAATTAACATTGTCTCTAGTGACAATCTATGGCAAGCCGTTTTGACTTTTAATCATTCGCGGGATATGAATTCTTGAATTCTATTTTAACTAGATAAAATGCCAATTCTTGATATCAGGAATTGGATTAGTAACAATGGGACTAGTAACAATGGCAATTTTTGATTTTAGTGAAAATACAATTACAGATATTAAGAATTATAGTTTGTACTAGTTGAAATTTAATTCATGCTATAATTCGTATTTCTGCGAGTGATGACGTCAATGTTGATATCAAGAATAAAACTTGACTAGTGGAAATTAAATTAGATTTCTTCTAGTAATGACAATTTTTGATGTCAGGAATTATATCTAACTTTTACCCCCAGTGGAACACAAAAAGTGTTATATTTTTCATTTTTTCCATATCTAGGACAACAACTGAGCCAGGACTACATCTGTTACAAACTGCATGATGCTAACTCCCCTAATTAATTTGTGCTCAAGGCTGTTGTGAAAGTGATATCATGTTGTGATAGACGTCATCTGGTTCCTGTTATCATATCTCCTATGAGCAAGAGAATGCACTGATATAGAGGTGGAAATTGTAATAAGAGCTACAGTAATGCACTTCATAGTCCATTTAATGAGACACTTCCCAGCACTGCCACCGAGACGACACACAGTGTGAGGAGCTTAAGTAGGACACTGTAAGAGGGTATTAATATGACTGATACTGTAAACCTCAAGGACTTCCACAAGTCAAACAAACTGATATTAGGTGTCTCTGACGTGGACCTAGAACAGATGTCTCAACAAATCATTATCTTAAATACTCTACATGCACATAAACAGGATGTGGCTTTAACATCATTCAGACGTGAAAATCCAGCTGGCATTGTTGTTAGCATATCCACACAAACGGAAATAACGCAGAGAGACAAACACACAAAACACCGGTTTTTGACAGTAGCCTACTATGAACATACAGAATCGATCTGGTGACAAATTCTAGTAATACTTTGCATAATCATCCAAGTAACCTAATTGGCGTAACCGGGTAACTGATACCCATCTCTCAGGAATCCTTCTCAAGAATATTCCAAGCCTAGTCAACTAGAAGAACAAATTCATCTCATTAGCTCCTTCACACCCTCGCAAGCTTCCTGGGAATGGCTTATGTCATTCTCAGAGCTTGGTAACACAAAAACACTTAGTGAAGGATGATTTCCCTACGGATGTCACGCTATATAAATAAAAAATAACTGGTCTGCAGCAGGTGGGAGCTTCTAAGTGTATTTTGAGTTAATATTTTAACATTATGACTGTGAATGCATAAACTGGGGCACGGAAGTATTATCAGACAAACCTTAAGGTCAACATCAATTCGACACCTAGTTACTTTATCTCAAGTTTTAGACTTACTGTGAACTATTAAGTGATGCATGTTTCTGCAAAGAAAACCAATGTTTGTCTTTGTGATCCTTGCTCTCCCTCTAAAACGCATGTGACTTCACGTCATCAGCTGAGGGGGCACCAGTGTCAGGACAGAGGGACACAATAACTCCATAACTCCCCACCCTTTAAAAAAAACCACTGACTTCAGAACGATAGACCTGAAAGTGCCGTGATTATTAGATGACACTAACTGTTCATGTTCTCAGATTCAGACTTATGCGTTTCTCTGGCAACACTATTAACCCCAAAATTAATCCGTGTAATTTGAGTAATCAATAGACAAAACCACAATACTAAAAGTAACAGTCGTTAGTGCCATAATAAACTTAAAGCAGCACTAAGTAGGAATTCCGTTTTTGTCAAACAGCGACCCCTAGAGTCGCTGTGGAGTACTTGTACTGTCGTGAATAGCACTCACGCAGAGATGGCTCGCACTCACGGCCGGATCCCCTCCCCCTGTACACTGGTACGTTCAGTAGGATGGACGCTGTAACGAGTGGAAATAAGGTATGGCTCCTTTAAGAGCTGCGCGCGCCCTGTTTAACTGTCGGCAGTCTGTATTGTATGTGCGCCTCGAACACCACATGTATACGGCGCCGGGTTATTTCTGTTTGATGCTCATTTTATCAGATCTGTTTTTTGCCGTAAAGCAATTCGTTACCTCGTGAGACCTGATATCACACGATACTTCCTAACACTGAGGAAGTTAGGCCCGCCGGCCCAAAGTTGCAAGGGTGGTTTTGCGGCTCACAGGCACCAGGGGGGTGCGAGACGACCACCATTCAACACGAAATCAGTAATATAAACATTACAATGACTCCAAAGCTGTTCGGTTAAGGTAAAAAAGTTACTTAGTTCACCTTTAATAATAGTTTATTTAGCTGGATATTAGATTTGTTATTCAACTCTGTGCTAGCTGCATTAAACTACTGTAAATCTATTGTTTATTTTCAGATTATTCTAGTGTTATTAAGACATTAACAATAGTCAGTTGTACAAATTATTAAATAGAAATTTTATAAATCTGTAACTACATTTTACCGTTAAAGCCATGGATTTTTGAGTGTTTCCGAATGACATTGCAGCGGTCAGGTGGTTCATATCGAAGCTCTAATGAAATGCAAGTTGTAATTATGAGTTCTACGAAAAGTAAATGCTTCTTCCAAGTCAGATTCTCGTAATTGCAGTAATTTCGACGTGCCGTAATGAAACTTTTTACCATCCAATAAATTGTCAATGTATCATTTTTTTCCCAAACCAGTTGACGCTAGTAAATCCTGCTTTAATTAATTTCATACTGACTTTAAACATTGTAAATGATTTGCAAAGAATGTGTATGCAGGCTGTGACATTAAAACACACTCAAAAGAGGCTAAAATGAGACAAACAACAAATGTTCAGGGGGGAGGAGACATTGCTTTTAATTTAAAAATAAAGATTTTAGCCTTAAATTAACAATGGATCTATATTCCAAGACAAAGGAGTGTAATGCCTACTGCTCAAAACAACTAAAGACAAGGATCTGTAATGCTATACAGCTAAAGGGATCTCCACAAAACGTTTTTTTTTTTAAATAATGTAGGTGATTCAAAAGAGGCGTCTCTTTTAGGACTCTCTAAATGGAGTGCCTCGAGATGTTGCCTTCCCTGCCTTAGGTACTATAAAACTCACAAATGAAAAAAAGAAAACCAAACATGTGGATAAGTGCACCACTTTGACCATGACTGGTCACAAGTCACTCTTACCTGTGTTGGCATAGTAATGCAACTAAGAGTAGAAAAAGTAGAGAAAATCTGCCTTCAACATATATAAATACTTCTTTTTACAAACAAAGTTAATCCAGACCTAATGTGCGATTAGGAAACTGGCATTCCTTGCACTTAAACGGAAATATAAATTAAATAAAAACAAAATCCAAAGCTGCTGTATCCACCTACTTAAGAGAGTATAAAGCTAGTTTCCTATAACGTCCCATGTTAACAGTAGATCACACATGAGAGCTGCTCGTACTAAGACAAGATTCATCCATGAGATTCAGATATTGCAAAGCACTTTAAGACCTACAAAAGGTCAGTGGGACGGCACATCCCCGCTGACTAAAGATTTGTCTGATGGTGTAAAGGTCTGTTCATGTGCGGTCAGACGGTGGGTCTGCAGGAGGAGATAAAAAAAAAAAAAAAAACAGTTGAAACATTACCGCCCTCTGACTTAAGACAGTAGGAGTCCGAGAGCCGCTGAGCCTGAGCCGGTTGTGTGCCGTCCGAACAAACAAACACTCTTACACAAGACATTCCTAGCATTTCATCTCTTGTACTCTTAATTGTGCCGCCCGAAGACCGCTCACAGCAGGATCATTTCAATGAGAATTAATACTCAACCTGAAGGTCTAAAACATGATCTTGGTGGTTTTAGAAACAAAGGCCGGTGGTGGACATGTATTTGCAGTTGTCTGATCATGTGATGATGTGTTTGTCCACTCAAACTATTGAGGCGTCTGGTCCAGCCTGTTTTTCTGTTTGTTATGTTGCCAATTGATCTGTTCGTTGAAGATATTGTTTGTGAGGACGTTACTCCATGATGGTTCTGTAGATGACCGGTTCGATGTAGTCCTCCCTATAACGGGAGTTGATCACCCGCTGTCTTTTCGAGTCTTGCTTCACATCCTTCTCCACAAACACCCCTTTGAAGCGCATGTCCGACGCCACAGACTAGAGACAGAAATAAAATGTATAATGTGTGTTAAACCACACGGTGTTCAGTAGCTCTGTGTCATGACAGGCTAATGAGTTCAAGGAAAAGGCGTTTTGTAATAAGTTTCTCAATGACATACCGCACGCTTAATGAAGCAGAGCTGGCAGAAAAATCACTCACCAGGCGGCCTTTAACACGTTTGGGCAGCTCCTCGTCCAAACTGTACACGTCTTCCCTCTTTACAGTAAGCTGAGAGTCATCTTCAAATTCCACCTGGAAAACAATTAAAATAGCCATTTTTATTTCAGCATTACAAAAGTCCACTTTAATTTCTCCTCAGATGAGCTGCGAATGAAGCCATTATAAAATTATATATATTGCTTTGCAACGGTAAACAGTCTACAGTTACGCTGTCTTCAGGTAATGTTGGAATAATTGTTCTTTGAGTGTGACTGTACAGCCAGTTTGTATGTATATTGTGTACTTTTGATGAAGGACAGTTATAATGTTTTCCAGAAAACACTACTCATTTAGCTGTGTAATGACGCAGCATGGTTGGGTGACAAAACTACTTTTTCCACCATTCTCTGTGGTGGTACTTTTGGCGGTACATTTGTGTTCCGAAGATGAACGAAAGTCTTACGGATTTGGAACAACTTGAGGGTGAGTAAATGATGACAGAATTTTCATTTTTGGGTGAACTATCCCTTTAAGGCCTGTTCACATCAAGGACGATAAGTATACCAATAAAGATATAGTTAAAAAAATCGTTGTAAATAAAAAACAATAGCAGAGTCCACACCAGAAGTATAACGATAATGGCAGAGAGGAACGATATCCCTGGAATCACTTTCAGAATCTTTTTTCCCAGCTGATGCATGATAAAAACATTGAGAGCCAATCAGAATCCATTCTGCTTTAAAGAGCTTGCACATTTAAAGCAACAGATGACAAACCTGCAGTGCTTAGAATAAACAGAACGATATCGTCCGCTGGTGTGGACTCTAATATAGTTATCGCTAGTTATTATTCTTGGTGTGAACCGGCCTTTAGTCAATAAGCGGAAAAAAAGCTAAACTACCTAATGTGTCCATTTTCCAAAACATGCCATATCATCATGTTGACTTGAGCAACATTTTCCTGGAAAGTCCCAGGCAGCCTCAGGCTTATGAACCATAGTACTTTTTTCTTTTTTTTTCTGATTACACTACCATTCAAAAGTTTGGGGTTGGTGTGTTTTTTTGTTTTTTTTTTCATGTTTAGAATGAAGGCTGCATTTATTTGATTAAAATACAGAAAAAAGTAATATTGTGAAATATTATTACAATTTAAAATAATTGTTTTCTATTTTAATATCTTGCAAAAATGCCGTTTATTCCTGTGATGGCAATGCAGAACTTTCAGCATCATTACTCCAGTCTTCAGTGTCACATGATCCTTCAGAAATCAATTTAATAGCTGATTTGCTGCTCAAGGAACATTTATCATCAATGTGAAGTCAGTTGTATGTCTTAAAATTGTGGAAACCATGATACTTTTGTTTCAGAATTCTTTGATTAATAGAAAGTTAAAAAACCCCAGCATTTATTTTAAAAAAATCGTTTATAAAATTATAAATGTCTTTACTGTCAATATGATCAATTTATTATTAATATTATTGACAATAACAGTACACATCAACAGTAGATTTTAATAACAGTAGTTTTATCAGCCACCGGAGTCAGTGGGTTACAGTGATTTTACCATGGGTAAGGAGAGTACACTACCCATGGTAAAGGGGCCTACTGCTGAAATTTAAGCCTACTGCATGACCCGTCATAGCTTATTGCCTCAATAATAGCAACGACAACGAAGGTCAATGTCATGAAAAAAAGTCAAAAACGGGCTCCATCGAAAAATATGACATTATATGTATGTGAATAGATATGGTAGTGCATGTTATGATATTAAACTTAAACAGTGTACAGTACAGATTTTTACAGCCTTTTTACAGTTACACTATCCTATACACTGCAAACAGTGATCCTACTGTTACACACGCTATCTACTTTGCAGTGTCTGAAGTTGAACTCTAACCCAAATCGTGTGCGCAATTGTGTTTGTTGTCCTCTGACCTGGTACATTGGGATGATATGGTCAGACACAAATTTGGCTCCATAGATCAGGCCATCTGTCCAGCGTACTTGAACTACGTCGCCCTCTGACGGTGGACCGAGCTTCAGACAGTCTCTATTCTGAGAAATAAAGACCAGCACTGCTTCAGTACACTGTGCATTTGATCACTAAACATTGTTTTGAGCTGCATAGCCCCTCACATACCACTATATCCTCAGGGAAGAGGTTGTCACTGAATGAGCCATCATCGAAGATAACCTCGTAGAAGGTGGCTTTGGTCAGCTCAACCACCTCACAATGGTAGTATCGCATATTTCTGTGCTTGCAGATCACTTTCTGCCCCTTCACCAACTCCCGCATTGATGCCTTGTTGCGCTGCAGAAGATGACGTCAGAGATCAGACATACATATAATGCCTCGTTTCCACTGAGCGGTACGGTACGGTACAGTTCGGTTCGGTACGCAATTATTTGCGTTTCCACTGTCAAAAGTTGTGAATGGTACCAAAAAGCCGAACCGTACCGTACCACTTTTTGGGTACCCTTCCGTTGGGGTACCTAGCACAGTGGTACGGTACTAAAAGGTGGAGCTAGACTCACTGCAGAACGGTGATTGGTTGACAGAGTATCGTCACTTGCGCGTGCTACAAGGGCATTAGAAGCATACAGTTAATTTATAAAAAAAAAAACAAGAAGCATACAGTTAAAATATAATACTACTGTTATTGTGTCACGAAATGTAGTTTTAAGAGTTTTTCAGGCGAGAAAGTAGTTTTTTAAAGCTCAAATCTGTGGTTTATTTATAGATTTATGATCATTTGAAGATCCATTCCAAGCAATCACCGGACGCTCGGCGCTCAAGTACCCCGCCTGGAGCAGCCTTTCCCCGGCTAGCCGTTCTGATGTTTGCCGCTGACTCTGACGTCTCTGTATTGGTTAAACATGAGATATAATTCGTCTTGTACAGACCTAACAGGCAATCTTTGGTCTCGTGAATCTATAATTCGTTCCCTGGCCAATAGTTTTGGCAGAAGGCTAAGTGAAGTTTCATATATTTGAGCGCTGAATTTGTATATTTGACTGAATTGTTTGCTTTGTGATTAAAGCTTTACTGTATATATTTTTGTACCTTTTACTTATACTTTTATAATGGCTATTATTATAAAACTGAAATTCACCAAAAATAGATAGTTTTGTCATTTATTTTATTTTATTACAAGATCATCTGTAATGTTGTTTATTGCAACATTTGTACCTATGCAATTCATTGCCTGGAATATGTTTAATATTTTTAAATTTAAACGAAAAGAGGCAGGATTGTGTTTTATATTTAGTTTTGTTATAAATATAACGTTACATACATGCAGTGAATATAATCAATAGCTGTGCGTTGCCTGAACCACATTTGCGTGCTTATAATGTTTAAAATGTATTTAAATTAAATCGAAAAGAAGCAGAGTGGTGTTTTATAACATATTTCGTTTTATTGTTGCCTTAAATGTACATAACCGGAGTAGCAGAGCGAGCTGAGTGGCGCATTCAAGAACGCGCTGTTCCATTGGCAGAATTACTGGACTCGCGTCCTCGGCGTCATTCTCCTGAGTCGGACTTTGCGTGGCTACTTGGTATTGAGAAACGCCTAATGCCAGCGCTTGTTTCTTGTGACAAACATCCCGAGAAGCAAGAACTAGATCTGCTGTCTGTCATCCATTGTTGTTTACTATGTCGCTTTTGTTCGCGCGAAAATGACGTCGATCGCTTCTCTCCGGCATACACCACGCCTATCAAGTAGGGTACTGTTGGCAGTGGAAACGCGAGCCCCGATCATGGTTTAGCGACCCGACCCGAACCGTACCGTACTGAACCGTACCGTACCACTCAGTGGAAACGAGGCATAAGATAACATCTAACACACATCTTTTGAACTGTTAACAATAGTCCACTAACATACTTGGCTTACAGCAAACACATTGCTTATACTTAAAATATGTATACATACTGGCTCAAAGATAAGAACTCCACCCCGCTGAAACACCCAGACAGACCAGTTACTGTAAAACTGGTTCTACTAGTTGTGTCAAGTTTTGAGAAATTAATTTTTAGGAATTATGTTTGTTTCATATTGTTTTGAAAACCCATAAAAAAGACAAAAAAATTAAATTAAATTAAAAAAAAGGACTAAAATGTAAGGTGTAACCATGGAGTAATATTTTCCTTTTGTCCAAAAAAGTATTTGGAGAGTCACACTCCATGGCATTTTACAATTCATAAAAAGCGCAAATTATCTGATTTTTAAGAGACTACAGTAAATGGCCTTGACCCACAGTAATGAGAGTCTGCAGGGGTCCTCTCTATTATATCATTTCCTTTACGTATTTTAGTATTCTGCATGTCTATGGTTTAATCGGCAGTAAAGCAGATTTGTTCAAATATTTTTATTTCAAATAAATAAATAATATAAGATTATCCCTGACTGCTTAAGGTTTTCTTCTCAAGAATTTTTACACTTTTAAAGTTGAAAATGTTTTCATGAAATTAAAGTAGCAACAGATTTTTTTTTCTTCTCTATAGTGATGTACAGCAGAATAAAATAGATTATAGAAAAACACAAAAATCAATTGGTTATTGTTGCCTGAAGTGAGGCAGATCTGAATGCAAACTTGAGGTCGATTAAAAGAAAGGGACAGGTTTAATGAGCCTAAAATGATTAAGTTCTGTGTACATGACCAGAGAGAAGTCTGTCAATTCAATGGAAGATCAATCATTTAAAGCTGCAGTCTGTAGCTTTTTTTGGGTTAAAAATTATCTAAAATACATATTTGAGAAAATACATAACCCGCCAGTGTTCAAAACTCTCTGCTTGCCTTAGCTCGATTCAAAACGGTAAGCGTGTAATAATGTTTTTCATTCCAGTGGTACTGGTGGATTTCCGCAGGAGATTCGAGCATGTCTTTGAGTCATTACGTCACATCTGTACACATAAAGGAGGAGTCTCGGCTAGTATAGGCTATATTGCGTGTGAGGATGTTGGAGGTGGAGATTTATAGCCTTTTCTCACAGCACTTGATATAATTAAACTTATCAATTTGATGGCGGATCCAGAAAGGTTCAAACGACAATCACCAGTGACAACAGATTCACCCGTTGTAAAATGCAAAAGACTTTGTTCGGACTTCGGAGTGGCTACAGAAAAAAAGAGACTGAAACCGGACCCATGCGAAAACAAGGATACATATCGGAAGGACATTACATGTAGTCACGCAATGCTGACGTTGTTAACACTAACAATTTGAGAACAAAGTATAATTTGCACGGTTTTGCATGATATGATAAGCGATTTTTAGATTTAATCAGCGCGATTTACTGCAATGTCAGAACCAGAACAAAAGCGGATGTTTCTTACTTGTTCAGATGACATTTTCATCGGTGAAAATTATTATGTTGGTCATACTTCCAAAAAGAATAATCTGGGATTCTGAATGCCAGTATCTACACCGGCGCAGTGACTGACAGCTGCACACTCTCCTCAAACACTGTTCTTCCACGCTGTGCTGTGTCGAACTACAACTCACGCAAAGTTGATAATTCTGCGAATAACTGCAATTGCAGATTTCGAACAGGGATGGCGACAAAGAGGAAAAACTGTGGACTGCAGCTTTAAAATTACAAGGTGTAATAAGATAACAAATAAATAAAACACATGCATGGATGAATGGTTCACAATAAGATAAATAACAAGCACTCAGAAAATAAAGTCCATTTCATGCTGACTTTAATGAGGCTTTTTTCTTCATTATAATATCAGGACAGTTGTATCACCCTGATATTTTTGAATGACAGGCGAATTTGCAGCAAACACGATACAGTTTGATTGGACGTTGGACCAACGTCAACATGAGATATGGGAAGTATATTTTGATATATTTAGTTAACTATGTGCAATTATACAGATTTATGCATTTTATGGTTTCCCCCCTATATTAAAACCACCAGTGCAGAGCAGAGGCAGTATACCAGAAAATGAAGGAGAATCTGTCCTATTATCATGCCCTTATTGTGCCATTCAATGTAGTTAAAGCCCAAAACAGTGAAGGGGCTTCTATATGCGTTTCCATTGTTCAGGTGTCATATCTAGACTTTGCTATCCCCCTCTTTTCAATTGTATTCTTCCTGAACACGTCTGTATTGTGTACCTCCATTTGGTTGCCGCCCTTGTGTCTCCAGCAGGTGAAGTAAACAACGAATGGCCAATCGTCTGGGTGCATTTGAACCCCGGCTGCCTGTGCACAGGTGGCGTGAAAGGAAGATGAGCAGCGGCCGTGTGAGCACTGCACGCAGCAACTCGAGCTCCTCTTCACCCACTTACGACAGTACTGGCATTTCTGAAAAGGAACCATTGTTAGTCATGCCTTTAACAATAGAAACTTGAGAAAGACTTCAGTTAAACAAATTCTGATGAATTAAGAATAAAGCATAAGAAAAGAATCCGATCATCATTGCAACGTGGATATGTTTGCAAGAGCTCTGCAATTCGGCACTCTAGTAAAGTCACGTCATGTTTATTTATATAGCACTTTATGCAATAGATTTCTTAAAATCAAGCTGCTTTACTGTATTAAACATGAAAAACAGTGTCAGTGTTTCATCAGAGCTACAACTTCATTTTGTACTATAAAGCAGCTCTCCAGTGTGTTCATGTCCGCGCCTGACCTCTACGAATCGAACAGGAGAAATGAAGAGGAAAAGATTTCCGCGTGAAAGAGGGCGGGGCCTCCGTGCACACCTAGCTATTACATATCGCCATGGACTAATGGTAGTACAAAGGTGTTTACCAGCCGTAGCAAACTTTCCCGGAAAGCTCGCTTTGGCAAGCTGTTTCGAACTCCCAATACGAACTTCAAACTAACTTCGTTTTGGCCTGATTTTGTTCGAAATTACATCACATCAGTTCGTTCTTCAATTTCGCTTGAAGTATATCTATCTGGGCCTTAAGAGCAGAGATGCTGCCAACCTACCTACTATTTTTCAGAAATATGAAAGAAAAAAAAACGTAACAAGATCATTTTCCAACAAATAGCATGAAAAAATGCTTCATTGTTTCATATAATATTGCATGCACATACATTCTCATTCAAAGGTTTGGGTTCTGTAAGATTTATTCATTTTTATGTATTAATTGACTAACCCTAAACCAGTGTTGGGCAAGTTAAAAGTAATTAATTACACCTTCAACAGTGTAGTTAAATGACTCGTTTTTGTACTAGCCAAGATGTGGCTAGTACAAAAAATAAATTATATAAATCCACTTTCCCTGTATATGCCAATCAGCACAGCATTCAGATTGTGTCATATGTTTGTGCAAAACATTAACTCACCAGCTTAAATCTCTGAAGCGGGATTTTACCGAGATCAACAGGACTGCGCTCTGCAATGTTCACGAATCGAGCCTCCAGCACTGCCACGGCACATAACACATGAACCCACCTGCAACAAAACCACATTGTCAAGCAAATCAGGTTTCACTGGCACCTGAGGTAAAACCCTTCACATGACATGCTGTCAAGCAGCTGAGAGAGTCAGTACATAAGAGTGTCATTCAGCTGAGAGGAATGTGTGCTATTGAAAATGTGCAATCTGACCTTGGAGTGCTCCCTCAGGAGGCTCCTGGGTACCTACTTGTCATTGTTTGCCTTCTGCAGAGCTCCTCCTCTCAGAGAGCATAAACAGCAGTCCTGAGGGAAAGACACAAACACTTAGTCACACCACTGAGTATAATAAACAAACGAACTTGTGGGAGCAAAACCTTGTCACACATGATGGCCAGATATGATAGCACTCCCTAGCAGCTCGAAAAATGCATGACAGAGGTTTAAAAAGTAAATTAAAAAAAGAAATCCAACTGTAAACCTAAACAAATGATCCAACTAACCTGAGTAATGGCGTTCGCTTCACAGCGGGAACACATCCACCCGTCCAGCTTAGTATCCCGAGACAGGCCATAACAACCTGTAGACAAAACATCCACAATTCATTCAATTATATTTTTACAGGTAGCAGACAAATTACATGGATATAAACATTTCTTTTGCAACATAAAAACTTTTGGATAGCATTTATACCAATCAATAAAGAAAAGTGCATATATTTTAATTATGTAACTGGTTACCATCTCAAGATTTTCACCATGTTTCACCAAAATCAACATGAAACAGCACTTTAGGGCCCTATCATATATATATTGACTTTTTTACACTTTAGGGCCCTATCATAGACCCACCTGTTTGCACATTCTGAAATGGTGGAAATTCTGAAAGTTCGCTGGTCTAAAAAAAACGAGGTGTGTTCAGGCGCATTGTTGGCGCGTTGATATTTTGATTCAACTGAAAGACTGCGCCATTGACCAACTGAAACCTGGTCTAAAGTCAATGGCCCAATATTTTTTTTGTTATTTAGAAAGCGCATTAGTAATATACGCCTATAGGCGTACACTCTGCTTATTACACACACATGGACGCGCAGCAGCACAAAAACTAGCCAAATATTACAAATAAAATGATTACAATGTAAATTCATCCTTGCTGAATGAAAGTATTAATTTCTTTCAAAAAAAATCTTACTGACCTCAAACCTTTGAATGGTGACGTAAACGGCAAACAAAATTATAAAGGAAGTAGTAAAATGCTTTTAAAATGCAGTGACTGGCGAGACATGTCATTTCAACTGCACATATTTCAGTGGCAACAGTGAAGGACAAACTTACTGGTGTGTACGCGCACACTACACACAGAGCAGCTGACGAGTTGGCTAGTGCCATCTTTATCCAGATTCGGGGTGGACAGGCGTCCCTCAGAGCTGCTGGTGAAGCACATCTCTGGTATCAGCGGCATGGTCCTCTGCTCTCCTCCTTCAGCTGCAGAACCGCACTGGCTCAGACGGATTACATCACTCTACACAGATGACAACAGCAATGTGCAGGGCACAGTCTTTTAGAGGTTCGCACAAGTCATCTTTCAATTATCAGCTCACGAATAAAAGAATAATTACATCACATCTTTTAGCCTATTTTGTCTTCACAATTCACCAGACATAAGTGTGTGATTTCTGAGCCACTAGCAGAATCAAACGGCCAGTGAGACAGACTGTGTTGGCTGGTTCGCACAAATGAAAGCTGAGTAATAATAGATTTCCGTGATGATAGTATTAGCATGTGTTACCTGTGTGTACATGTGAAAGAGTGCACACACTGCACAGTACGGCGGTTGCTGGCCCATGCGGAAGTTGAAATCCTTCTCAACTCTAAAATCGCGAGGCTTGCTTTGCCACATGGGAGCCAGGAGTCTGGCCCAGGGATTGGTCTCCTCTGGCTCTGCTGCTGGCTCCTGAATCTCTGTGGAGTGAAGGAGTTCATGAGAAAGAGCAAACAGTGATGCACCAATAAATGAACTACATGAAACAGATCCTAACCGTCATCACTGGAGTTCTCTCTGAGCAGGGGATGCAAGTACGGCAACTTGCTGAGTGGCTGCAGTTTCCTCTTCATGCTCTTATTCTCTTTCTCTCCCTCAATTTTATGCTGAACAAAAGCAAGAGAGGCGTTCATTTCATTTGGATGTGTGTTGTGGAAGTGCTTCATTTTGAGTTTGTTTTTAAAACATTATTTGTGATGTCATGTTTGTGAAAAAAGCCGAATATATTTCATGTGCATTAAAAATAATTAATTTCTTATAATTATCACTATTAAAAACAGTTCTGCTTAATATTCTTGTGGAAACTGTGATACATTTTATTCAGGATTCTTTGATGAATAAAAAAAAGTCCAAAACAACTAAATTTATCTGAAACAGAAATATTTTGTAACATTATAAAAGTCTTTACTGTTTTGGTTAATTTAATGCATCCTTGCTGAATAAAAGTATTATTTTCTTAAAAAAAAAAATATATATATATATATATACACAATTAGGTATGCAAAATATACTGGTACCATATCAGTTATCAAATATTTTTTCATTTATCAGTAATGGTTGTTTTTAGATATTTAATTATGCAGCTCATTCCACTATTTTTACATTTAGATTATCTTTTAAGTCATCCAACTAATTTAAAAGTAATCATTAAAAACATTAATACATTTAACAATATTTCATCTTCAATAAATCTTAAAACTAATATCAATTTTCATACTGCACATTCTACTGTTATGATGCCTGAATTCACTTGAAATCATATTTAAAAGTATTGATTTTAGAGATTTATTTTCAATTTACTCAGACAAAATACAGATTAACATCCATTCAGTTAACAGCCATAACAAACCATTTTAATACCACCCCTGATTTAATTGCATACCTACTCGCTTTTTTTTATATGTTAAAGCACTCGACTACAAAATGCTCATTTTTGAAATATACACACTAAGACAATGCAGTTACCAACCTCTGTGTTTGGTTGTGGAGTTTGCGTATTTGGCCGTGGAGTTTGCGTATTTGGCCTCACATCTAGTTGAATGTCTGGTTCTTTGAGCTCTTCTCTGAGTTCTTCTCTGAGTTTCTCTGTCCTGGGTTTCTCGGGTTTACTGAGCGCTGATTTGGTTGCATAGCTATGGACCTGTAGGGCATCTGAAGGGCTCAGGGTCCGATGAAAGAGAAGGCTCGCCACCCCTGGTTTGGTAGAAATCCGTGGCACGGCTGACAGGCAGTGAGGGACAGTAGGGACAGATGCTATAGAGAGATGACGCTTTGGGAAGGACTGGACACAGGCTGAGGACAGAGAAGTAGTTTCAGTCACCGGGTTTGCAGCACTACAACCCGCACCCCTAACACGCTCCCCAAATGCAGGACTTCTGGAACCTGGAAGCATCTTTAAATTGTTCGAACCTGTCAGTGGCAGAAGGTTGTCTTCGTCCTTCAATTCTGAAATAAATGTTTTATCAAATGTAAAAACAAAGGAGTTCCAACAACCGCTATCACTTAAAGTTGAAAGTTTTTTTAGGCATAACCACATGATGTACCTTGATACTCTCTGCATTGTTCTATGTATGGAGTCAAGCGCCCCTTCTTTCCATATTCAGCCTCCTCGTCGTTTGTTTCACTCTTTGGAAGAACCTCCTCTGGTAAGTCGAGACACACTCGGTGTCTTTTGGTTCCTATCCTTTGTTTGGCCAGGCTAATTTAATTGGATAAGGGACAACATTGGAGATTGATATTACATGTTTTTTACATATCAGTATGTACAATGTAAGAAGTAAAGCGAGCGTAACTTTTTTACCTTTTCTTTTGTCCCTCACTGCTTTGGTTCTCAACGAGTTCCTGAGCACCACTCTTTCCAGCCTCTCCACCTAAAAACTCAGCTGCTTCAGGCGTGGGCTTGGAGTGGTCAATGGGAGCATTGTCCTTCCCCGCCAACCACAGCTCGTAGCGTTCGGGCTGAAATTTCCTTACAAACACATCCATGGAGATCTTCACCATGTCTTTCCTACATGAACACTGAGGGAAAAAGATACAAGATTGATATTTTTATAAGATTAATGCACTATGTTGTGTACAGGCATTTCAGCACACGATAAATAAAGTTTGGGGTCAGTAATATATATATTTTTTTAAATAAATGAATACATTCATTCAGCAAGGATGCATTAAATTGATCAAAAGCATCAGTGAAGACATTCATAATGTTACAAAATATTTCTATTTACATTTTTCTATTTCAGCTCTATTCATCAAAGAATCCTGAAAACAGGATCACAGTTTGCACAAAAATTAAGCAGGACATCTGTTGTCAACATAATCAGAACACCAAATCAGCATTTTAGACTGATTTCAGAAGGATCGTGTGACATGTGACTGAAGTAATGATGCTGAAAATTCAGCTTTGACATCACTGAATCAATTAAATTTTTAAAACATACTCAACTAGAAAAAAAAACACATTTTAAATTGTAATATTTCACAATATGACTGTTTTTACTGTATTTTTTTTATCACATAAATGGCCTTAGTGAGCATAAGCGTCATAAAACAAAAAGATTATTGACCCCAATTTTTTGAATGAACTTTTGTACATTATTTTTTACCAGTATGGCTTGTTTTCCATAGTCGATCCATCGCCTTGTGGCAAAGTTAGTAGATTCAGCACAGTTAAAGCCATGATTAAAGCCTGCATGATAGCTGTATGGAAATGTCACCATGAACTCTCCTGCATCCTGAGTGATCTACAAATCAAAAATGGACAATGACATCACAAAGCCTCCTCAAACATAAAGTTACAAACACGTGTATTCTAAGGACGCATAATATGGTCCGCTTATGATATAAAAAAAACAAGTCATCAGTTGGGCAAAATGCACTCATGATCATAAAAACATACCTTTTCAAAGGGAATGCCATACTTCCTTAGAATTGAAGGTGAAATAAGAGTCATCTTGTGTCTAAGAAATGCTTCACAGTTTTGTGAACTTCCAGGGAAAAAGCCTGTATTACAACGGCAAGTATTATATATGAGAAAATATAAATCAAATTGTCTGTGCAGAATTGACGACAAAATAAGCTGTTTACCTTTGGCTAACCGCTCCAGTCTTTTTCCATGTTCTGGAGGCACACAGTACCTATGAGATTCCAGATGAATTTAACACTTGGCATCAGGACAGACAATTACAACAACCATCTTTATGCCTAAAGGCACACATTTCATCTACAAATGACATTCTTCTATTAAAAAATCAATTCAAGACTTTAATTGAAAGCCGCAGGTGCAATTACCAGGACTTTGATTCCCCGAAGTGTAAGTAATTAATGCTGTAGAGATCCATGTCCTCAGTGTGCCAAGCAAAAGTGGTTTTCCACATGCCAAAGTAGAGGTAGGGTGTGTTTACTCCCTCTATAGTAATACCACTTTCATGCTCCACGGTGTCAAGGATGGTATTCAAATGCCCTACATTCCATTCCTTGACATCCTGCATAAGACACGAAAAAAGAAACAATGACTCCATTCACTTCAGAGCTCTCAAACCAAAAGTGAAACCAAAAAAAAATCATTCAGATTGCTTACAAGCGTTTACTCACCGGGTCATACAGAGTCCCATTCACATCAGCTCCATAGATGGGAGGGTTAAAGGTTACATTTTTCCAGTATTTCCTTTCAAGCTCTTCAAAATCATCATACCGAGGGCTGCAAAACCTTCAAAAGGGATGGACAAGTGCATTTATAATCAATTTCTACTAGAAAATGAGTAACAAGAAAATGAGTCAACAAGACTTACTTGTCGCTGTTGGCTGTTTTGCGGAACTCTTTCAGAGTCATGGATTTCTTCTGGATGTTGTACTGTGTAAACAGCCCCGACTGCCCAGTCACAACCTGCTGAATTGGTGCAGGTATTAGCAGGTCGTCAATGTCATCGTATGAACGTCGAGGCTTCCAGTTTTTGGGTGGGATGATCTGTAATTTAGAAAAATAAATATAATTTTGTGAATGACTTATTGACAGCAGTAGCCTTATGAGATTTTTTTTATGTCAAGAAAGTAGGGTTTTCCTCTAACCTTGGCTAGGCCTGCCTTGTGTGCACCTTGGGACTCCATGTACGCAATGTAGCGGCTGAAGTTCTTGAACTCTTCACCAGTGGGGTAAAAGGTCATAATACCCCTCGAAATCGGCGTGTCTGATGCCATCTTGACCGACTGAGTCCTTAGCACCTGTATGACAAATGTTATTGGGACTGTATTCTCAAAGTACAACTAATATAAAACAGACTATATTAGCAAAATACTGAAACATAAAAAAGCATGTTATTTGACATTAAAATCAAGCTTAAAGTCATGTTTTTTAGCACTATATAACAGGAGTTTTCAATCTTTCAGATGCCACAGATCACCAAAAATGATCATCATTGTGTGAGGGACTCCCATCCTAAAATTTAAAAGGCAAATATTATCTTGTATTAAAAACCCAAATTATACTGTGAAAATGTGTCTAAAATATTATTTGGAAAATATTTAGCTTACATTACATTGTACTGTTTAAATTTAGTATGTATTTATTAACACATCTATTTACTCATTCATTTTAATCCATTTTATTTTTTTATTTTGATCTTTATTCGTTTAAATATAATTGTTATTTAATTAACTATTTATTCTAATTGAAACTTTTTTTTTACAATGGTTTCCTTTTAACTTTTCCATGATCCCTCCCAGAGCACAGTTTGAAAACCCCTGCTAAATATGTGGGATGACTTTAGACCATTATTACACGATTACCCAGACGACCAGTCACTTTGACTTAATTTACATCACAGTCATCGCTTTACTGTCATGCTGGGTTGCTAGGTTTCATTAACTTCCCTTAATGTAGTTAACCACAGATGTTTTAGCAGAACCACATGTGAACCTTAAACCACATGTGACAAACTACATCCGAGTAGCATTCCGGTGTAAAGGCTGGCAAATAGGCCTAATATGGCTAAGACAGTGAGACAAAAACCTCATATTCTTACAATGCAACCCGTACGGTACTGTACACACAATACACGCTACGCCCATTCGCACGCCCCGCCTTGTATTCGGAAGATCTGATGCTGATTGGCTAACACCAGCGTCTCTTTAAAAGTCGTATGGCTAGGCTAACGAGTTAGGCCAAACGTAAACATTATCATGTACAAATGTATCATTAATTTATCATCGGATGAATTAAAAGATCAAACCTATACAAAGTACACGACAGGCTGTGCAAAATATACCAAGTACAAATGATAAATATAACATATGATGTGCGTAAATTGGAAACCTAGCTGTTGGATGCAGTGTAGTGAAAGTGCAACGGTTAACGTTAGCTCTTCGAAGCTAGCAACTTTACCACTACTAACAATGCTTTTAAACCGTATATTATAGAAATAGCGTAAATACAGACAATAACAAGGAGGTTATATGCACATATTTACTTACTGACTGTCGAACAAAATGCTTATAGCTGCCCTCAACCTTCGTAGAGACGTTTAGCTAACAGCAGATCCTTCTCCTGACAAACCTCCATCAGCACTCGCACACTGCGCATGCGCAGACAGGATTTGTTTACTATATTGGTCCACCCACGCCAGAGTCACCATAACCAATCAAATCACTGTCACGTTTACACCGGTTTACACTAGCCTGCCTGCTGTCTGCCATACACTTTTTATATTGAGTTGTTCATTTAAAAGCAGGAATACGTTTTTTGCGAACATTTTAATTTAGTCTCAATTTTATGTAAAAATGTTTGCCTTCTTAACACATATAAGTTTGACCCATTACTAATACAATATTACACTGCGTATTTGTCCAATTTACTCCACCCAAAAGACAAATTACATGATAATCCCCGAAAAAAAAAAATAGGAAAAAAGAAAAAAAGATTTGGTTTTAAACTTTATAGCCGCAAATTTGAATAAGCATACATGCCTGCATTTATGTATGTAATTGTAATAATGGTAATTTAAAGCTTCTTTTTATCATACCAATAAATAATACAACCAATAAATAAATAGTGTAAATATTAGGCTACCAGTGCTACTTAATGACGTTCTGTAACTGCAGATTACAGTAGTTTATAGCGGGACTCCCAGCTAACAAAAAAAGGTCCCCAGAACGTCCCCTAAACGGCCTGTGTGAACGTCCCCCCGAACGTAAGTTACCCGTGTAGGGTCCGCTTGATGTCCCGCGGATCTTCGCGAAGACGTCGTCTTCGGATCTTCGCGGGACTTTCGCGTTTAGTCCCCTGAATATCATTTTATTTTATTTTACTTCTGGCTAACCAAAGAAAACAGACACGGTGTAAGGAACAAAGTAAATTATTTATTTAAACGATTGTAAAAGTGCTATTTCCGTGTGTGTGTGTGTGTGTGTGTGTGTGTGTGTGTGTGTCTTCAAATGCGCTGACAGCTGTGTGTGTGTGTGTTTGTCGGTCAGCTGTGGGATTAATCCGATGCCAATTCTCCCCTTTTGGCATCTACCTAAAACAACAAAATGAACATATTCGGTTATGATTTTATCCATATGTGAAACGTTGTCTCTTTCAGCTACATAACGTTATAGCTTCGTAGTGTTAAGCATAACGGTTGTCAGCGGTACATTGCGGACAACTTCAGCAACATTTTCATATAATTTAAAGATGGACAGTGGTTATGGTAACTAATTTATAATAATCTAAAAATTAAAAATACCTTTTAGACAGACGACGGACAGAGAAAACACAAGGCTGAGTCTGAGGAGCACCGTTAACTGTCACTACGCGGCTACGCAGCTGAGCGTTGCCATGGATACAAGACTGTGATACAAACCGCGTACATAAGGAATGACGTCACTCGTTTAGGTGCATTTGATCCACTGATCTATATAATGTCATTCTATATAGATCAGTGATTTGATCCAATGATTTGATCGTCACTTGCTTGTTTCTCCAATTTTTTGTTGTTGTTATTTGATCTGCATGTGCTATCAGTCTTAAGTGCAATAATTAGAACAATATTAAAGTCCCCATGAATTCAAAATTGACCATACTTACTTTGTTTGCCTAAATTTATCGTTTTTTGGTGAACAATTCATCCATGCAAGTCAATCCACACAAAAAAAATTTTTGGCTTCGTAATCTTTAATCAAAATCTGAAATTTCCCCTCCCCTCTGCGTTGGAGGACCTTGCCTGATGACGTAGGTTTCACGGTTTGGGCGTCTTCTTAACATCCATAATCACGCCCCTCCAACTGACAGGAGACAGGCTGAATGAAAACACCTACTTTTCTAGATCCAATCAGGTGCTAGTTGGGAAAAAAGCCACGCCCACCATTTTGCCTCATTAAGTATTCCGTTTCTCTCGGAAATACGTCACAACACTGGAGAAAAGTCGTTTGCAACTTCCGGTTCACGGGGACTTTAACAACTCTGCTTCGTGTATTCTCAAAACGGTCCATCTGACTACAAAATCATAGCAGAGCATTTATCTTCAGCCGGGGAAATTCGAGACTAATATTAGTAAACTTGTCTCTTTTGAAGATCAGACTCATTGCCAGTCACTGCCTGCAGTAAAAGAGGGCTGCACTCTCACGCATTGACCGTGAGACTCTTCACACTTTTCACACGCTCTCACGCCACACATCCATTTTCTCACGCAACTTACCGAAATGTATATACATAATATCGACCATTCAGTGTTTTTCAACCGCGCAAACAGGTTAATATAACAGCTGGAGAACAATTATGTCACATAACATTTACCTCAGGAAAGCCATTTAATGACCATGATAGGCTATATAGCACGTTATTTTGGCTAGAAAAAAAGAGCTAGAGAGTAATTTGCTAATTATGTGTAGGCCTACTATATTACATATTTATTATATTTTTTACTTATATCATTAATCACAGTTGTTATTATGATAAAAAAATGCGACATTTTTTATTACATTTTTACAGTCGACAGTGGGTTTCCCTTCCAAGCAATTTACTAGCGTTGCCATAGGAACGCTTCGGCTTTTGCCACCCGGAAGAACGTCTATTACTGTTGTGACGTTATGGTGAATTGTCGTATTTAGTCTCACTGTTTTCGTCCTGTCGTTGTCAGATCGTTGTGGATGTTCCCTGTGTGTGTTTGTTCGTGTCTGCCTTTGAGTTTCCTGTTTGGTTCGGTATCCTGTTGCTGTCAAGTTTGTTCCGTCACCTCTCCACTTCATTCCTGATTACCCGGTCCTCGAGTTCTCCCGGTTTCTCTGGATTACATCACTTCACCATCTCTGCTTCGCTGGAATACATCTCTTCACCATTGTGAGACTGGGTTGTCCCTCAGCGTCCCTGTGCTACCAAGTGCTTCATACCGGACATTGTCTTACCATCACTCTCTCACTATTCTGCCTGGACTTCTAATAAATATATACTGTTTCACTTGCAATTGAATCTTCTGTTTACTTATCATCATAACAGAACGATCTGACCAGCTATGGATTCAGCAAGTACTCCCGAACTGAACGAATTCCTGTCTCGAAGCCTGGCCAGGATGGATCAACAGGAAGAGAACATACACTCTAAAAAATGCTGGGTTGTTTTAGCCCAATTTTGGGTCAAATATGGACAAACCCAAACGTTGGGTTAAAAATGTAATTTAAAAATGTAATCAAGCGGCTGGGTTTGTCCATATTTGACCCAAAGTTGGGTTTGAACAACCCAGCAGTTTTTAGAGTGTAGCCGTCACGGGACGCGCAGTGCAAGCATTGGTGGCACAGGTGTCCGCACTCACCCTACAAGTTCAACATCTGGGGAGTCCCGCTGCGCCCAGCCCATCGCCTGTTCCCCCCAATCCGCCAGTAGCCAGCCATCAACCGGAACCACGCATACCCACTCCTGAACCATATTCAGGTGAGCCAGACTACTGTCGAGCATTTCTCACTAAATGCTCAATGTTTTTTTCACTCCAGCCACGGACATTTTTCACTGAAGAATCGAAAGTGGCACTGGTGCACTGCTCACTCTACTCTCTGGGCAAGCTGCCCTGTGGGGAATGGCGGTGTGGGAAAATCAACATCAATGCTGCTCCTCGTTCCAGGCACTATCAGAGGAGATAAGGCGAGTGTTTGACCGGGCGGTCGCTGGACGCGAGGCAGCATGCCGACTCACAGATCTTAACCAGGGTGAGCGATCCGTATCTGAATGCTCTAGCGAGTTCCGTACCCTCGCTGCTGAGTGCCGTTGGAACGAGGAGGCACATGTTCCTGCATGGGTTGGCTGACCGCATCCAGAAGGAGATATTCGTCCTGGATCTGCCCAAGAATCTTGACGGTCTCATCGAGCTGGCGCTGAGGGTAGATTCGCGACTACATCGACTGGAGCAACTAACTAGGACGACAGTGGTTCCCAGGAGTCGCAAAGTCCCTCAGGCCAGTGGCAACGATGCGGTCAGCCCCCTCTTCGATCACGAGCCCATGCAGGTGGGTAGAGTGCGGCTTTCCCGGGAGGAGAGAGAACGACGGAGAACAAGGGGTCTATGTCTTTCCTGGCGGGGCGGGACACTTTTTGAACACCTGACCCGTAAAAGACAGAGCCCAGCAGTAAACAAGAGGCTACTGTCGGGCGGGATCTCTGTGGGCAAGACCTCAGCCAACACTCTCCTTCCGGTAAGACTGCTTTGGGCAACCCGGTCCTACCACTGCCAAGCCTTACTGGACTCTGGGGCCGAAGGTAACTTCATGGACTTAACCCTGGCTCGGAAACTCAACATACCCTTCACTTCACTCAAGGACAAGATTTACGTCTGTGCACTTAATGGTCACGAACTCCCTGAGATAACACTCACCACCGACTCTCTGACACTTGTCACATCAGGCAACCACACAGAACAAATTTCATTTTTACTACTGGACACACCCATGACATCCATAGTCCTCAGTCACCCTTGGCTCATACAGCCCAATCCGAGGGTTGACTGGGGACACAGTTCTATTTCCTCCTGGAGCACTCAATGTTATGTGTCCTGTCTGGTGTCTGCTGGTTCGTCTGTGTCTTGATCTGTGTTTCAGAAGGAGTCGGTGAATTTGTCTAACGTGCCCGCAGAGTACCGCGATTTAAAGGAAGTGTTCAGTAAGTCTCGTGCTGCTTCTCTACCTCTGCATCGTCCCTATGACTGTGCCATAGACTTAATCCCAGGTAAGTCTTCGCCTAAGGTCAAACTCTACTCACTTTCCATCCTGGAAAGGGAGGCCATGGAGAAATATATTTCTGATTCTCTAGCCTCTGGATTAATCCGCTCTTCCTCTTCTCCAGCGGGGGCGGGATTCTTTTTTGTGGGGAAGAAGGAAGGTACTCTGCGACCTTGCATTGATTACCGGGGGTTGAACAACATCATGGTAAAGAATACTTATCCTTTGCCGTTGATGTCTTCAGATTTCGAGAGGTTGCAGGGAGCATCAATCTTCACAAAACTGGATTTACGTAATGCATATCATTTGGTTCACATCAGGAAGGGGGATGAATGGAAAACTGCATTTAACACCCCCAGGGGACATTTTGAATACTTGGTTATGCCGTTTGGGCTATC